TTGCTCTGAAATGGCAGGACACCATTTGATTTTACAGACTTAGGGTTGTTTGCAACTTTGATGGTCTTCGGAACTGTATTACAGCTTTTCGTGGACAAAGAGTTTGCTGCTTGTTTGGTGGCAGAAGGAAAAGGTTTCTTGTCTGGCAAAGAACTCTTTTCCCCCTCCGTTTTTCCTGCTTTCCAGAAAGAATTTATCTTGGATTGGATAACTTTGCCACGATATCTGCCAAGAGCTGGTTTCTTTGGTACGATGACACTTGCATTTTGTTTTTCTGCTGTCAAATGCCTCTCTTTAATTCTTTTGATTTCCAAGATGGCCTTGCTAAGTGATACATTCTGAGATTTTATATCAATGACTTTATTCTGTGGAGCTTGGTTTTCAAGATTACAGTTTGTCCCTGCTATGTAACTTGTCAGTGGGTCTGTAGAAGAGTTGAAAGTAACATTTGTTTCTGAGTTTACAATTGATTGCTCCCATGGCACTTTATCAGCATTCTCTTTATTTTCCTGAAATCAAAAGCAAATTCACGGAAATGTTAGACGCATGTTCATGCTGCATGTTACTTGTTTCCAAAGAGGCTTCCAATAATTCACAGGACTAAAGTGCTTAACTGTAAATGCTAATTTAAAGATGCCTACAGAAGTAATGTATAAATATTAAGTAGATTATTTGTCAACTATTACTGCAGAATCCACATCAAAAATCAAATAAAAATTGCTTAAATTCTGCCTTGAAAGTAAGAAATAAAACTCTTAAAGCAACTGCTGGGTTTAAAATGCCCAAACTGTCTCCTTAGAGGAGCTATAAAGCAGAAACTTGCTTTAGGCTGTATATAGTCAAGAGCAGTATCTCTGTCTGCATATCTCATCACTTAATGGCAGCACCATTCCTCCACTTAGTGTGAATAGCCTACTAACAGAAGGAAGTGAGTATAGCAGTAATTAGGACACTAGGAGATGTCAGCAGAAGAGAACTTTTCTTACTATATATAGGATGCTGCAACTTGAGAATGGTTACATCAGTTTTACACAGCTTTACTGAAACTATCAGCCATATATTCTCAGCACAACCCCTTAGGAAAAGTGGAATCTAGTCTTTTCCTCCAAAAGAGTTACTCTACAGCAACTAATTCAGCATTGTCCAAGCAGCAGCTTTTGAAAGAGCGAAATATCCAAAGACAAGAAAAAAACCAAGGTGAATGGCACATGGAAGTCTGCAGGAGCAGACTTAAAGAAGATGCCCTTGATCTGAAAGAAAACTCATTTCCTGGTCTGTCACTGAGGCTTAGTAGTTAGATTTGACAAAGCCAGCATAACTAGAATTTGAGTGTGAGGACTGTTATTTCAGGAAACTATGTAGCTTAATTCAACTTTAAATGATACAAGAAATTTATACCAAAAAAAAATATATGTCCCTTCAGGAAATTTCTAAAAAACACACTTGTTCTCACTTCTGCAATTTCTTCTCAACATTCAGTTTTGAAGTTTTAAGTTCTTTGTTTTTCTCCTCAAATAACTCCATATCTCAAATCTTCTGAAACCCAAACTCTAAACTGTCTAACATGAACACAGCTCTTATGTCTATTTTTAACTAATCTTTCCCTGAGAACAGGTCTGGAGAAGAATCTCTATTTTGCTATTTCTAAGCAGCACAACCATTTGCATCTTAATTCCAGGAAAGTGACATGAAAGGATACAGGGAACACATTTCCTTAAACTCTGATTAGGTATTGGCATCTACTTCTGATTACCTTAGTTTTGCCAGCACACCACTGAAAAAACATACATACTCAACATAATTCATTTTGTTAATGGTTTGGCTTTCTTTCAAGTAACAATAAACTTCTTTACTGTGACAGAAGACCTTACTCAGATTTTAAATAACTTCCCCAAAGACTCAAAATGTACCAAAAACCCCTCTGAGATTCTTGAAAAACACTGTTAAAATTTAAGCATTATTACAGCAATAATGGTTTAATCCTGTTTAACTCTCTCCCCCACTGGTATTCAGTCTCCCACAAACTGAATATCAATATAATCAATTTCCTACCGTAATATGGCAGCTTTCCAAAAGGCATATCATAAGCAGTGACTAAATAAAGTTCTAACAAACCACACCTCTGCACCTACAAACTTCTCATGCTGTGGAAGTCATACAACATAGATTTAAGTAAGTGGAATGTTGTAGCCATAGAAACAGAGTGCCATCAGTATTTAAGTATCAGTCAAAAACTTACCATTTCTGGCTTGGGAGATGTTGAGAGCTGTAACTTGTCTTGCAGTTTACTGGTAGTTGCTCTCCTAGTTCTGCTACTGCTTAACAAAAAAAAAGAAAAGACATCTTAAATCATACAACAATGGGATGTATTTTTAGAGGATGTTCACATGTTTCAGTTGGTAGTCTGCAGAATGTACTCATACTGAAACATTTCTGCTTAGCTTGCACTATTCCTCCAGAAAAAACAAATGGTTAAGCAACCACTGATCAGAATCCAGGCTGGAAAACATCCTTCTTACACCATAAAGAGCTGTCTAACAGATTGGAACTTACTGCAAGTGTAATTTCTCATGTTTAAGAATGAGTACCAATTTGTCTGGTCTGATGCATCTGCTACAGAAGGTCAGGTTTCTAAATGCTGCAGTTGAGAGGAAGCAGGGAGTAGCACAAGAAGCTGAAGTTCAGCTGCTGCAATCATGAGAGCCCAGGCCATCTGAGACAAGTCTGAACAAGGACATGTAGTTCCTACCACACTGACAGACTCCAAAACCATCAGTCAGGCACCAGAGCTGGCATCAGACTACCCAGAAAGTTACAAAACCACCAAGAGCAGTATTGTCTCCTAGCAACTATGAAAATGTATTGACAACTTAGAAGAAAAACATCTCTGTTTAAAGTTACGAATCCAAATTCTTCCTCAGGTGCTTTGTGATGTGTTATATAAGAGACGTGGCACTACTGCATGTGACTGAAAATGAACATTCTAGTTAGCAAGAGGTATCTTTGCATCAGAGGACCTACAGAAGCCAGTTGAGATAAAAATGAAGGAACATTAGTGAATATGAACATAAGAGAATCTAAGCCATGGCAGAAGCACTACCTGATCGATGTCTGGTTTTCTTGAATGGGTGCACCAGAAAAAGTCTTCTTTCTTGATAGATACTCTTCGACTTTCTGTCGTCTTTGTTCTAGCAGATTTTAAGACAGACAGACTTGTTACATTTTCAGCTAAAATATTAATCTAAATTTTCTTAGTCAAGAAGGAAATGCAGTTAGAAAAGCATCAAGACATTACAAAATATAGACGCTATGGATTAAGAACGCCTTAGTTTTCACATCTCAATGGCTTACACATTCTCACATTTCTTGAGAAAGGCAGTATTCAAGAAATGGTTGAATGTAACTTCACAGCTACACAAAATTGGCTGGTTCGCTGTATTAAGCTAAAAGAGATACAATTTTGCAACATGAAGTCAGGCTTGCTGTTGTCTTCTGTATGCCTGTCCAGTATTTCACATAGTTGGTTCAGCAAGCACACTTTTCATTTGTGGCAGTAGCAAGGATAGCACACATGAAAAGCACCATGCATGTGAACCATCTGAAAAATCATTTGCTTCTCTTCCACTGTCACTTGGACATCTGTGCAAATGTTGGACTACTGGGACTGCTAATACCAGCATGAATCGATCCTGAAAAGGCCCTAAGAACAGCTGTCACTGTCCCTCCAGGGATGGTGACTCCACCCTCTCCCTGGACGGTTCATTCCCATGCCTAATCACCCCTTCTGTCAAGAAATCCCTCCTAATGTTCAACCTAAACCTTCCCTGGCACAGCTTGAGGCTGTCCCCTTGTCCTGTGTCACCTGGAAGACGAGGCGGTGCCCACCTGGCTCCACCCTCGTTTCAGGCAGAGTGATAAGGTCTCCGCTGAGCCTCTTCTCCAAGCTAAACACCCCCAACCCCCGCTCCTCACAAGGCTTGTTCTCCAGACCCTTCCCCAGCTCCCTGTCCTTCTCTGGACAAATCTACAGAAGGCAGTGTCCATCCCCCTCTTCTGAAGGGGCTAGCACAGCTCGTACCGCAGCGGTGCCCCTGCCAAGAGCCGCTGCACGGCAGCGAGCTCGGCGTGCATCCCGGAGCTTCCCACGACCTTCTGCTTCACAAACGGCTCTCACCGCCCCTCGCACGAACAGCAAAGCCCCAGCAAAGCGACTGCCCGCCTCAACGTGCAGCAGCCGAACCGCTCAGAAAGTAAATAAGCACAAGAGCGCCGGGGCTAGGTCGGCGCCGCACTTGCTGCTGTCAAGAGGATGCGCTTAACGTCAGGGCGTCCCGTTTGCCATGAGGGGAGGCTTCCAGCCCAGGAGCCCTACCTGGTGCTGGGGATAGGATGGATGGCGTGGGGTCCGTACCGGCCCCAGCCCCGCCAAAGGAGGGTGAAGTCTCGTACGCCCACTCGCAAGCTCCAAGACCACAACAGCGAGCGCTATCACTAAGAGCTGCCCGGTCTCCGACCTCGCCTGGAGCTCCTGCCCTGCCCTCCCACTGCCCGGAGAGACCGACCGGCTCCTCTCTCGCACCGGCTCTCCTGCACCCGCCGCAGCGACGCGCGAGCCTGCAACGGCGGCCGGTAACGCTCAGCCCCGCGCGGGCCAGCGAGCGAGCGGCCCGCGGCGGGGAGCAGCTGTGCAGCTGTACCCCTCGGTGTCCCCGTGCCCCTCGGTGTCCCGGCCTTACCGCGGAATGCAGGCTCGGACCTGCGGCTGACCGGGAGCTGCGGAGCCTCACGCGCCGCCATAGCCACCGCGCAACGAGCGTTTGAATCGGCCCGGCGCCGCCCCGATTGGCCCGGCCGCGGGGCTTGAACTGGCCAATGGCGGGCGGCGCTGCCCCCTCCCCCCCCGCCGCTCCCCGGGGGAGAACATGGCGGCCGCTCTCCTGGCCGCCGCTAGAGGGCGTGGGTCGGCCGCACACGGTCCCTGCACGCCCAGCGGCCGCGGCCCGGTGCGGGAGGGGAAGGGCGGCCATGGACAGGTTCTCATGGACCACCGGGCTGCTGGAGCTGGGAGAGACGCTGGTGATCCAGCAGCGTGGCGTGCGCCTCAGCGATGGGGAAGAGAAGGTGATTGGAGCTGGAGTCGCTCCGCGCGGGGCCTGGCGGCGCGGCCGGGGCGGGGGAGGACGGTAAAGGACGCGGCAGTGGGCCCCAGGAAAGGGGACTGGCAGGGCTGTGGGTGCGGGCGATGTTGGGCGAGGGACGCGACACAAAGGGTGTGAAGGGCTTGGGCTGCAGGCGGAGCATCGATCCGGGGTGTGGGAGGACGTTCTGCGCCAGGGTCTGGCAGGGTTTGTCTCTGTGGGGAGATGCAGGCTTTGAGGGGCTGTGCTGGTGGACAGCAGCTGAACGTGAGCCAGCGGTGCGCCCAGGTAGCCCAGAAGGCCAATGGCATCCTGGCCTGTATCAGCAACAGTGTGGTAAGCAGGGCAAGGATTGTCCCCTTGTACTCAGCACTGGTGAGGCCGCGCCCCGAATCCTGTGTTCAGTTCCGGGCCCCTTAGCTCAGGACTGACATCGAGGTGCGGGAGCGGATCCGGGGGAGGGCAGCGGAGCTGGGGAAGGGCCTGGAGCACTGGTCGTAGGAAGATCAGCTGAAGGGGCTGGGATTGTTTCCTGGAGAAGAGCAGGCTCTGTGGGGACTTTGTTGCTCTCTGCAGCTGTCTGAAAGAAGGGTGGAGCCAGGTCCGGGTCGGTCTCTTCTCCCAGGCAACAAGTGACAGGAAAAGAGGAAGTAGCCTTAAGCTGTCCCAGGGCAAGTTTAGGTTGGCCATTAGGAAGAATTTCTTAACAGAAGGGGTTATTAGACATTGGAATGGACTGCCCTGGGAGGTGGTAGAGTCACCATCCCTGGGGCTGTTTAAGGAAAGACTGGACATGGTGCTCAAGGCCATGGTCTGGTTGACACAGGGATTTTGGGTCATAGGTTGGACCCAGTGATCTCAGAGGACTTTTCCAACGGAATTGATTCTGTGATTCTGTGAGAAAGGCCTTGGACAGTGTGTGTGACACGGGGTGAGGGTTGGGCCCCCACAGGGTGTGTGTAGGCAGTGTCGCCCTGCTCGGGCTGTCACTCCTGTGCGGGGCTGAGCCTGCCTTTGGTGTGGTACCGGGCATGACGCACAACTCACACCTGAGCCGTCCGGGGTGCTGACATACCCTCTGCTCTCTTCTGAGCCATCCTGCTTGTTGCTTCACTTCACTGCGGGACTGACTCTTGATCTCTCCATTTTTCTACACCATGGTAATTGCATGCCATCACAAAAAGCTGTGAACACGTGCTTCTGATTTTACAAGTAGGAAGCAATTTGCTAATGCAGATTTTCCAGGTACTGTTTGCTGTCTGATAAGTAAAGAGCTTTTCAACAGCAGCACAGATAGAAGCAATACCCCTTTGTGATAGGATGGAGGATTTCAGACTATGTGCAGCATCTTTTTATTAGGTTGCTTTGCTTTTTTGCATAACTTCTACCTTCTTTGTCATCATATAGTGAATGTTCCAAAGCCAATAGGCCTGTTTAAAATGCATTTAAGAACTTTAGTATCTCTTGCAGAGTATATGGAGGGAGGATCCCTCAGGATTTCCGGGGGGAAAGTTTATACACTTGAAAAAGGAAGTTAGTGTTTATCCATCTAATCCTTTTATACTATTTTTCTCCATTGTTTCCTAAACTTTATGTATTTTGTTTTCTGGAAAAAAGGGAGTGTTCTCAAAATACTAGCTTGTTAAATCTGATTGCTCTGTTGTGGTAAGGTGTAATGTTTCCAAGACCAGTATTTATGTAACTTACTGGTTCAATGTGTTGTTGATCTGTTTTATTTTTCCTGCCCAGGTGAAATTCGATAGTGGAGTTTTATTGCTGAGCACACACAGACTGATCTGGAGGGATCAGAAGAATCATGTAAGTCCCACTGTTGTCTCCTGTACATCATTCAGTTGTAAATTTCATAATAAACAAGTAGCTGTTGTCTAAGCTCAGCTGTGGTTTAACGTCAGACTTAGAAACCTTAGCTAGCTCACCTACAAAACATTTGTAGAGAGACTCCCTTTTTTATTGTGTCAGCAATGTATAATAATTAATGGGGCACATGATAGGTTAACATATCTTACAGAAACAGATGTCTGGGTCCTATAGCTGCTGTTTTTACGTGTCATCTGCAGTTAAACAGTGTTTAAGAAACAAAAAAAGGAATTCTGTAAAGTTTGTTACATAGCTAGATTTGTACAAATTTTTAAATGACACAATCATGCATAATGTGAGCATGAGGCAGACAAAATTCAAATAAACACACAGCATATTTAATACATTTCTGGTTTTGTATCCCTTCCTCTAGCTTCTCTCATCAGGAAGGGATGATTCTAAGTCCTTGTACTTAAAATAGGTTCATAACTTTCTATCTTGGAAATAAACAAATCAGTCACTTTGACAGTGCACATATATATTGCTGAACTCTTTTTGTCATTTTCAAAACCATTTTAAACGGAAGTATGATATTGGCTGTCTTTTAAAGTGTCCACAACTTTGTGGCTGACATTAACTGTTGGTAATAGCTTTAGAAACTAGAGTCATAGAAGAGCCTAGCTAGCTTGCATTAAGAGTTTTTAGAAAAGGAAGTACCACCCAGGTTTTTTCCCAATAAGAGATTTACTTATTAGTTGGAGTTCCTGCATGTATACTTCCCTGCTCTCATATTTAATGGGTATTTAACTACTCCACAGAAAGAGGAACAGTTTTAGTAGTAGGGATTGAGAGGGCCCTGTAATAGTGTTTGTTGTAAATTGGTGCTAGGTAGTGGCAGGTGGAAGAAAGAAGGGGGAATGCAACCTGTGTTTCCTGCATTCTGTGTGACTGTGTCACTCACCAAGGTGTTGGTGTGGGAGATGATGTTCTTCAGAGGATGTTCACCAAAACAAGACCAGGCACCTTATTAGATGTTTTGAATCATTCCCATAGCAACTTCTGTCTCAAATGCATGTAGAAAGAGTTTAACCTCAGATAAGTTTATTTCCAGCAGATGGATACAGCCTTGTTTCTTGCTCTTTGTTTTGTTTTTGCTGAATTAAGCAGCATCCTTCACTGTAGAATGGATGGAAAAATTCCTATTACATTCAGACAATAGTGTAGATTTTAGATATTTAGCATTTAAAAGAATGTGGGTTTGGATGTTTTTTTAGCTCCCAAAGTAACATCAGTGCAAAAATGTCAAGAACCTGTGAGTATTGTGCACCTTCAGAGATAAGGTGCAGTGGTGTGAAAATTTTAGTCTTTAAATTTTGACCTTAGATCTAAAGATCTTTTAAATCTCATAGTCCCTTCTCTGAACCTAGCTTGAGGTTTTTAAAGTTGACACATTAACACTTAAGTTTGTTGAGGTTTTTTAATTAACTAGAACTCATGTTTTTGGGGTTTTTTTGTTATTTTTCTACATATATTTCACTGTAATACATTGTTTCTGTTGTTACCAATCATATTTTACATAGAGTGCTTCAGGCAGCACCTGTAGATATCCATTCTGTTTATAAAATGGAGAAAGAGAACACTTGGGTTTAGAGAGTGAATAAACAGAATATGGTTTAATTCACCTGCGTTTGTGGTGTTTGTTGCAGGAGTGCTGCATTGCTGTACCTCTGTCTCAGATTGTATTTATTGAAGAGCAAGCAGCTGGGATAGGAAAGAGGTATGGCCATCCTCATTGTCTTTTTCAGATGGATCCTTTCACATGCGTGTTATGTGAGGTACCCAGTATTATAGATTAATACATGGTAGGTTCCGTTTACAATCTTAAGTTTCCATACTGACAGTCACAAGGACCATTGAGGTCAAATGTGTAAGAGAGTCATGTCTGATGTGATTTGTTAACTAACTGTCTTGTAATCACTACTGATGATTTTAGAGGTCTTTCCTGACATAAACAATTCTATGATTTTAAGTTTCTAAAGAGAGAAAAAATTTTGGCTGAAAAAATATATACACAATTAACATCTGCTTGCAGCCTACAGTCAGATTGGCAAGGTAATATGGTGGAGGTATTCAGAAGAAATCTGTTCATTAATGCTGGAGAAGTAAGTAAAGACCAGTGCAAAGACTATCAGTAGAATGAGATGGGAATGGAGGACTTGCAGTCATGTTGTGATAGCAGTCTGTTAATTTTCCTAAAGTCATGGTCTCCCAAGGTTTGTTTTGATAGTAGGTGTCGTTTTAGACTGTTATTTTCATGCATGTTGACTTTGAATGTTGGTTTTGGATAAGTTCACACACAGTGTCCACAAGTGACATATAGAAGTGGGATAGGTTACACGTAATATTGAGACCTTTTGTTTTCCTGTGTCAAAGGTAGTGTATTTTAGCTTTTGACCTGCAATAACTAATGCCAAATTAAATGACAACTTGACAATCAGTTTATCCTAACTAAAAGGTTTTTGAAAATTATTGCTTGAATTTTTAACATTTGTTGTGTTCATTTCTAAAGAAATGATGGTAGGTACATTTTAAATTTGTAAGATGTTTCTGCTTTAGAGGCTGTTGTAGTTTTTATGCAAGATCTACTTCATCAAAATATTTTAAATGTTGATGCATGAATATAAAGCATTCTTTGGTGATCTTTAGCTCTTATGTGAGATAGTTAATAGAGATTTTGATGAAATGGTTTACTTTGATGCAGAAATAGTTTATTTAAATATTACAGAAATCTCTTCTCTTTGCTTTATCTTTTTCATAGTGCCAAAATAGTAGTTCATCTTCATCCTGCTTCTTCAAACAAAGAGCCTGGTCCATTCCAAAGCAGCAAATATTCTTACATCAAGCTTTCTTTCAAAGAACATGGGCAGATTGAGGTAAGTCTTGTACCATGGATGCCAAGCACAATCAGGTCTTTGGACATGCTTTTCTCTTCTTGCTGTGTTATTGATAATTTTCCATTATCTTTCCATGTTTACTTTTGAGGTGGAGCTTTTTCAATACATCCTTTTGGGAGACAAACACTATGAGCCTCCCATGTTCTATGCTTTCATTAAATACTGCAAATAGAGTTCCAAAAATGTCAAGAGGCATTACTAGGCTGGTTCTTATTTTAGGGCGTTTAGTATAACCTTATACTTCCTTTGCTAATCTACTAAATGGAACATGGGATTTTCCAAAATGACATCCCTGAAATCTGTTAAATGTTTAACAGTAAAAGATACTTCTTTGTACCTAACCCTCTATTGAACAGGAATCATACAACTTATTCCTAATTATCTCTCTAATTTTATTGCTGAACGCCTTTTGTTGCCTCAGAAATTTAGTTCATTTTACACTGTATAATTTTTTTAACGTACACCAAATCTCAAAGGCTTTGAGCATTCTAAGAAAAATGTAATATATTCTTAAAAGAAAGCTCATCCTAAAAACCTAAGAAATTGCCCTCTGTAAAGACATTTCACAGTGGAAGATCCTCATTTGACGAGACTGAGAACTTTAACTTTGTACTGTGGAAAAAGCGGTACCTGTTCACTGCAGAAAATAAGATTTGCAGCTCAAATTAGTTAGAAATGTCTTAAAAATGCATGTGCTTGATCAGACTCACTTTCATTTCTTTGTGAGCAGTTTTCAGATTATGATGATTGTGGGTTTATGCATAGTATAAATGTGTGTGTTTCACAATCATAATCATATTTATTTTAATGTTGTGTCTGAAAATCAAACTTACTCTGCTTACTGGTTGCCTAGCACATCAACTAAACCCCAGCCTTTCTTTATGACTTCAGAATGCTTTTCTGTGAACCTGAACAATGAAAAGGGTGGAATAGATTTTCTGTCTGGGTATTGGTCAGTGGGACACACTTAGTGTTAACTAATGCCACCTTCTGGTATTAGCAATAAACAAATCGGTGTAATTGATCTCTGTGGTTGTTTTATATTGTCGAATTAGCAGATCAATAGCAATTGGATTGCTCAACTTTCCTTCCTTTAAAAACATGCCTTGAGTATACCTCAACATTTAACATGGTTTGGGACATTTTGAATATCTGAAGAAATATTTTACAATAAAAGTACTTAGTGACTACATGGCTTCTCTTCTAATATGAATGCTTTTGAAGAGTGGACATTAAGAATTTCAGTAAAATGAGTTGTGTTGGTGATATCATGTTTTGTCTCCATATGTTGTGAAGCTTATGTCATCACCAAGATGCTAGAACTACACAGAGGAACTCTGCACAGTTAATGAAATGTCTATTGTTACTGTTTAATGTTTGCAGTTCTACAGACGATTATCAGAAGAAATCACACAAAGGAGATGGGAGAGCATGCCCACTGGTCAGGCCATGCAAGTTAACAAGGATTCACAGGTATGTGCAGAGCTTCTGAGCAGGATCTGTGTGTAATCTCTTACTGCCACTTTTTGCCACCCCCATACACCACATCCAGCATGTGACTCTAACCAACACCATGGGCATGTGCAGGAATTCAGCTTTAGTTTGCCTGTTTTTTCACTGGCATAAGTTAGCTTCTCCTTTGCATTTTTCAATGCAAAGGTTGCCTCTCTTTCTTGAGTATGCTTAGATAATGGGCTCCTTTTTTTTTTGTTTGCTTTATGTGTCTGTGACATATAAACACACACAGACACATAATTGTGCAAATACAGTATTTATTTGCATATACTTTTATTCAGCATATGAGGTCCAATGAAGCTGGAAAATTTTTTGTCTTTGTTGTGATTCCTGATTTATTTTTTTGTGGCTGGAAGTCAAATATTTAACATGTGACTTTTATATAACTCTTTGAAACTGATACATGTTTCATTTAAATGTGTATTCTAAAAGGACAGTTGTTAGGGAGAATGTCATGTTAGGTAATGTTTATCTGCATACATACTTCTAAGTTATTAACTCTGATAAACATGTAGCTGTTGTTTCTATACATTAATGTGCTGAATATATGAATATATAGTATTGCATGAGTGAAATAGGATTATTTAAAGATCGTTCAATATGAAGTCATGTATGTCCCCTGTGGTAAATGTAGTACCTATATGGACAGCTGCATTTGGAGTAATGCATGAAGAATCTAACCAAAATGCCTTACCTCTACTTAAGTCATGGCAACTCTTTAACACCAGTACTAAGCTTTGCAGTCAGAGATGAGAGGCCTGGCACTGCTGCCACTTAGGTACCAACCTTTCTAGAACACATTTGGCATCTGGTAAAAGTTTCACCATCGCCCGCATTCTAATACCTCTGAGGAAGGTAAATTAGACGGTACTTAGCATTGTGTTTCTATGTTTCTGTTTCTTCAGGCTGGATTTCTTGAAGTAATACACTCAGGCAATTTCACAGCTCTAGTATGGATGTTCACATGGACTTGAGAGGCTAGAATTGAGATGAGCTGGAATACTTAGTCTGGATATTAAGCCATATTAATAGCTTCAAATATACTGTCAATATCATACTTGTCTAGTACAGCAAATTCATACATGGTTCACATTTCTTATTTTTTTTAACAATGGTTTGAAAATTACTGTCAAGAAATGTATGAAATATTGTATGAATGATATCTGCTGTTTGGGGGAATATTTCCGGTCCTCTAATTTTCACAGTGAGGCAAATGAGAAAACTTAGCATTTCCTATTTTGACTCTTTCCTTGTTTCTTTTTTTTTTTTTTTTTCTAGGCAGGAAGAATAAGGGCTGTAGGAATTGTAGGTATTGAAAGGAAATTAGAAGAAAAAAGAAAAGAGACTGACAAAAACATTTCCGAGGTAGGTACATTTGAAGTTTCAAGGACAGCCATCTGTCTGAACTATTTACATTCATTCACACTTAATTTTAGTTTTTGTTGAGAAGTCTGAACTGATTAAGAGTGTATAGTGTGCAGTTGTTTATTTTGTTTAACTTGCTTACCAGTATATGTAAAGGTACTTCATTTAAACAATTCCTTTCAATAAGATTGTTCTTTGAAACTGACAGTGTGTAGTTATTAAACTAATTTTGGTTTCAATTGAAAATTGAATAGATATTAAGCAGAATATGGAATATGGTGGTCCAAGTGTGTGCATATAACTGTGATGAAGCTAGATTTTCTTCTTATAGTCAAGTTTTTAGATGTTACGTTTAGGCTTATAATTACAGAAAATGATTTGCAGTTCAGGCATTGACAAGATATTTCAAGTATTTTGCAAAATACCTAGCCTAGATGGAGACCATTCTTTTACATAGATCCAGCACAATAGTTGAATTCCAGATATCAATACTGATGGACAGTGGAGGCATCTAATTTCTTCATATATACCTGAGAGCAATACCCTCAAAAATAGTCTGAGTCTGTCTTGGTAGTATAGATTGATACAAAAGTACTCAGAAAACTACATGCAGCAGATTTGTTCTTGTGGCAAAGCTTTATGGGATGTGCCACAAGAAAAAGGCATTCCCTCCTCTAATACTTATGAAAATTAAAGCGCCTTTGCAGGCCACGCGCTGTTTCAGATACTGGGAGCATTAAACTTTCTTGGTTTCTGTCTGTGAGGAATGTACTGAATGAAGTTTTGTGTGTAGTTCAAAAGGTATTGTGGTTACATGCGTGGGTATATAGTTCAAAAGGCATTGTCTGCATATTTTTTCCTTTAGTAGCTTTGCAGAGAGTAAAAGAATCCATTTATACATGTTGTATGAGCAGAGGAAAACCATGACTTGTAAAATCCTGCCTTCCTCCAGCTTTAAATGTTATAAATGACTTAATTTAAAAAATGGTGCCCTGGCTTCCAGGAAAAGGCTTCCTGCATGTGCTGTTCAATGCTGATAAGAATCCAGTTCTTTAGCCTTTTGTTTATCTGAGGAAGTTCCTGTTAGGTGTGTGCACATTCCCCTTTGTTTCCAGGCCTGCCCTGGGTGAGTCAGGCAGAGGAGGAGTTATACACAGCATACTGTTTATTTAGCTAAATCAGGGGTTCTTTTGATGAATGTTGTTTTCATGCAGGTATAGAGATTAGAAATAAGCTGGGAAAAGCCCTGTCAGAAAACTTACTGTTGATCATATACACAAGTAGAGTAGCAGGACTTTGATTTACACTAGAGATTGGGAAATCTATTGTATGTTACTCAGTTTGGCAGATTAGGGAGTAAGAAGTATTCCAAATAGAATCTTCTGTTTTCTTAGTGGTAAATTATTGTTATACAGTGGCATATTTTCTTTTCTCCCTGTGGACCACCTAATTTTGGATATCTAACTCAGGTACCAAGTGTTAGGGCACTAAACTTGTTCAGTCAGTGGAGAAACACTGGCACTATCAGGAGGTGAAAAGCAAACCCTGTCTCTTTCTAGAGGCATCTCCTTCTGTTCTTTGCACATTGAATCTCTGACCAATAAGCTTCTACATAAAAGTATATGGGAACGGTGGGGTCTTCCTGCAAAAACACTGCTAAAGTGTGTCTTTCTAGTGGGGAATTAGTAAGAGTAAGGCCGAAATGACATAGAGGCAGTGACTAGAAGCTGTAGGCAAGATGTCTCTCTTGCCATTTGGCAGTGTAACTGAACCTTCTTTACTTGTGGCTGGAGGGCTTTGGTGCTGCTGTCAGGCAAACTTTAGATGAAAAGGTTCAGGAACTTCTTCATACCAGTTGTTCAAAAAAGTTTGTTTGAAAAGGTTGATCGTCTGGATATGTTGTCATGTATTTGAGAGGAGCGAGGAGGCTGAATGAATGTGTGTTGATGAGGGTGGGAGAAAAGAGAGTTGCTTTTTAGTATAGTTGCATTAATGGAGTTGCTAGCGCTCTTTTTTTTTGTTAACATGATTTTTTTTTATGCTAGTTTATCATTACTAAAAGTTTGGAATTTCAGTATACCTTCAGCTGTTTTTAAAGTATGATTTATTTAAGCCTAAAAACCCTTTGTGCATTATTGTAGAGTTGTTGTATTTGAGACCATTTTATTAGAGTACTTAAATGAAGAGATGTTGCCACACATTTCAGGGGTTTTGTCCCTCAGATATCCTCTTTCTTGCTCATTTGAAATGAGTGTTTCTTACTAATCAAGTAACATTCACTGATTAAAGTAAAGTTGTATTTTCAGGAGGAGTACATTTTTTACTTTACTGTAGCTTTACAGCTGTCTTGCAGCTGGCCAGAACAACAGATCTCCTTGATAGACGGTTAATTGTTGGAATAAAACCTACCATCACCACCCAGAAACCTTCCCCCATCTTACAGAGCGCATAATAAACTTGGACAGTTTAATCTTTTCTTGGACTCAGTATCTCATTGTCCTTTCTTATCACATGGACATCATAAATCATACTGAAATTCTGTTCATATACTGGAAAAGTATGTGATTGTTTGATTCTCTTCTTTGTTGTTTGTTGTTTATTTTAATTATAAGACATGCTGTAAAACAGCTGTATCAACAAATAAGGTGTGATATCTCATATTGTAACATACTCACCTAAAGGGGTAGCAGCTCTTAGGAGTAGCTTGGGTAAGTGGACAAAGGCATTTCCCTGTGTTCATAAAACTGAATGCTGTAATTATACTGATCTGCATTGTCTGCTTTTCATTTCAGGCTTTTGAGGACCTTAGCAAACTAATGGAGAAGGTATGGATGAATGGCATGTGTCACTTGGCCAAGTGGACTTAGGCTTGTTTTCTCAGTTTTAAGGACACTTTTTTCTCTTGCACTGGAAGTTGACTTATTTGTGTATGTTTCTTGATAGGCTAAGGAAATGGTGGAATTATCCAAGTCAATAGCCAACAAGATTAAAGAAAAACAAGGTGACATCACTGAGGATGAGGTAAATTAATTTTGTTTTTAAATTCTACAAAAATGTTCCAACGAAAAGCAAAATGCTATCTGATTAATAATGTAGTGTTAATAAAAACCCTTGCTGGTTGGTTTTGTTGTGTTTAGTCCCTTACACTTGGTGTACAATTTACTTACTTAGTGTTAACTTTTATTTTAACTCTTTTTAAAAGCAATGATTTTACTGCTTTTATATAAATGTTTCTATTTTTTACCTATGCTGGTCAAAAACAAATGGTATGAAGTCTTGCCTTCTCTTTGTCTAGTAATTTACTTTATTGGTAGCAAACTGATTGATTTATTCACCAAAACTGTGTTATAGTAATACATTTTTTTAAAGATTTTTAAAAACCAGAATCACTCATTAGCTGATGTTTATTTGTTTGTTTGCTTGTTCAGACCATTAGGTTCAAGTCCTACCTACTGAGTATGGGTATAGCTAATCCAGTTACGAGGGAAACATACGGATCTGGTACACAGTACCACATGCAGCTGGCAAAGCAACTGGCTGGAATCCTGCAGACTCCCTTAGAGGTAAAGCACCACATCTTCCACCAGCATTTTTCATGTGTTGCTGAATTTTGATGTAAGTGTGTTTTGGCTGTAGTCGTCTACCTCTTTTTAAAGCAGATTTAGCAGCACAGCCTCCTATTCAGTGTTAAGGGGAGGAATATATATTGCCTTTTTGAATAAAAAACTTCAGTATGATTTTTTCTTTGGACTAATGGCATCAACTTCTGATTTGCAAAATGTTGATGAGATTCAGAAAATTACTCAAGTGGTCTTTCTTGTATTTGAACAGCCCTGTATTTATCCCTTACTGCAGAATATTTCCTTTTTTAAAGAAAGAGTGAAATGACATTGACTGAAAATAAAAGTAATGAGTCTTTTTACTGTTTAAAATTTATATATTTTGCAAATATAGGAGAGGCATATTAAGTAGATTACCAACCCATAGTAATATCTCGTTTTAATTTATCTTTAAAGTATTACAGATTACAGGTTTCTCACCAAAAAGTTAAATTGAATATTGCAACTTATAAGGCTATGTTATTCCTAAAAAGCATATATACTACAGTATTTTTGTGAAAGGTACATGCTACCTACTGTGATCAGAATGGAAAACTGATTTTTTCTGAAAAGTAAAAACAGTAAATTGATTGATAGATTTAATATATTGAAATTCCTTGTTCCTGTGATTTTATTCTCTGGTTTAAAATCAAAGTAATTCACAGTCCTTGGGTGTAGTGTCACTATTTTGCATTTGAAAATGATTAGTGAAAGGTACAACTTGCCTCTTTAGTTTTTTCCCATAAGGGCCCATCATTTAGCCTCTCTGTCTCACCTGTTTAATCAGCCATCTGCAAGTAGAGACTGAGTTTCCTGGGCTAATGCTGTTTCTCTCATCAGTCTTGTGCTCGTTAACACAGGAGCGAGGGGGGATCATGTCTCTGACAGAAGTGTACTGCCTGGTGAATCGTGCTCGAGGGCTAGAGGTGAGGCACTGCTCTGGGTCAGTGTGTTGTAACAGGACTTCAGTCACAAGGAAATTAAAGGGTAAAAATGTTCCCTACCAATGGCTCATTCTACTTGTCTACAACACAATGTGATCAGCTCTTTATTAAAATTAGAGGGGTTTTACCTTTCTCCTTCTCATTTTTCTTTATAATATTTATGTGTCCTTTACAAGTAGTAATAATGTATGCTTTTTATGATACCATGTAAAAGGGAAAATACATACTTATCTGGAAACAAAACTTAAAGGTCAGAGACTACTAAAGAATGGTGAATGTTCTGGGAATTTTTTTTTTGACAAAATACAGCAATTCTTTCTGTAAACAAGGCAAGGAAGATTATTATAGAATACATAGTAAGAGAACAGAAAGGAGCATAGAAGCCAAGAAAATAGACTACACAATAGGAAGGAAAAAGAATTAACAATAAATGTAGCCTGGTGTATATTATAGCTTCAGCTACTAAAATTTTGTTTGTTTTGATGTTATACTATAAACCTGAAATGCAAGCTGTGAATAAATATGTTTTACTATTTTAATAGCTGCTGTCACCAGAAGATTTAGTAAATGCTTGTAAAATGCTGGAATCGCTGAAATTACCACTAAGGTAAGAGCTTTACAGATTCATTTATAAAGCATGGCACTCACAGGTCAGACCATTATGATTTAATTTTTATTTGAAATAGATTTTTTTTGTGGCTGTTGTGGGTATTTTAACAAAGTCATTCTTTGCTCAAAGGATGCTGCCATATGCACCAACATTCACTCACATTAAAACATTAATTTTTAGCTAGGAAGATGTTATTTTTTCACTTGGAATTTTTTTGTACTGGAATAAGGGTTTAACCAAGACCAGACATATGCCCTGCTCTTTTCTGTCTCTTCAGATTTTGAATATGCTGTTAAGCTTAAGTTCATCTTACAGAACTTGCTTGGGTTTGGGGGGATTTTTTGCCCTTTTGTAAAGTGGTTATAGATGTGGATGCATTAGAAACATGACCGTAAGTGACGTGCACAAGGTTTTTAGTTACTTTGCCTCTCTTTTTTGATTTTAGGCTTCGGATATTTGATAGTGGTGTGATGGTGATTGAGCTCCAGTCTCATAACGAAGAGGAAATGGTAGCTGCTGCTTTAGAGACAGTAAGTGTACTTCATTTCCTTCAGTGTTCTGACCATGCTAGAGAAATTTAAACACATTAGCTAAAAAACTTGAGGTATGGGATTTCCTCTTGAGGTTTCAAAATACAAAGCATTCCACTTCGTATCTTCTAAGAGAAATATTTAAATAGCACTTCTCAACTTCAAAGTTCTGTGCAGGCAATAATCTTAGTCATTATTTTCTCTTTAAGGAATAAATCACTTTTCTATCTCTTTTCAAACTTCATTAACCTTCAGCCTTCCTCCAAATCTTTTGCTCTGTAGGTTGAAATTCATGGCATTTATTGAGCACCTAATTTAACAGAAGTCTGATGTGGACTTCAGACACAGTACTGCTTTAAGGCAGTGGAAACAGCTCTTAAATGTTGATATATGTTTGGTTTGGGTTTATTTCATAGAACAGTACATTGTATGTGTACCAAGTTTGCTGCTCTGAAGAGCACTCAGTAGGAGAGTAGTGTGTATAAAATTAAGCCAGCTTCATCAGGAAAAAAGGTTGTTTGAATTGCTCAGTGTCATAAACCTTTGTGGTCTTGCTTTACAGTCCTGTTATCCCATTATTTGTTACATTTTCTCATGTCTTTCTGAGTGGAGTGTAATTTTTTGATTTTCATACATTTGAGAAAAGGCCGATCCAGTGTATCCAAAGTTAAACATCAAGGTCAAAGAGGGGGCAGTCAAGAAAAAGTAGAGCTATCACAGACACCTCCTCACTTGACACAAGGTAGACTGCTCAGTGTGTTTTGCATGATTGTCACTTTACAGCTTTTGCTCATCAGAAAGACTTTTAGATAAGAGGAATAGATAAGATAAATGTTTACAGTCATTTAAAAGATTCCATTCAAAATTAACAACACTAAAATGCTTAAGTCTTTCAGTGTACGTTAATATTTTCAGTTTATTTTCGTAAATGTATAGAAAAATATCAAGACCATTTTAGTGCTTTTTTCTGATTATTTTTGGTTTCTAATGTTTGTTTTTTTTGTCTTCAGTAAGAGTGGTTATGTCTTTGAAAAGAAAGGAAAAATCTTTCTTGATAACAAGGGAAGTCAACTGCAAAAGTAGCAGGTGGTGGATTTATTACCAAGGTGCCTTTTTTCTGTTATTTTCATAATATGAGACTTTGGCTCCATAGAATAATGGAAGGGAGAGGCTTCAACTGAGGAAGACTAGCCTGTATGGATAAGGGAAGATGAGATCAGACTTGTGGCCAAAAGCACCCTTACTTCAATGTTACTGCACATTATGCATTAAGTTCTGAGAAGTGAAAGGAAGCCATAGGTTTCAGGCAGGAGAGAGATGTGGTTTTGAATGGCTGGTGAAGACAGGAAATGACACGGACATCAAAGGAATCCGACATCACCCTTGATGAGCGTAGTGGTTTGGGGAGGAAAGATAATTAATCACCCATTGTATAGCTGACGTCCATTACTCAGATTTGATCTCTTAGCCTCTGAAAATCTCATGTTAGGACTGATTTAATCTGAGTTTTTGTAAAAGGACTACTGCTGAGAATGATGCAGAATAGACCCCTCCCCACCCAGTTATGTGGGAAGCAGGAAATGGCAACTACATCCGGATTTGCAACTTTGCTTGAATCTAAAGCAATGGAGAAATGGAAGGATTATTAATTTTTAGGGAATAAAACATGTTTATCTGGCAAATTCAATGCAATAATAAGTCTAGACTTCATATGTAGTATTTATCTAGTATTTTGAACGTCTCCATGTCCAACATGTGTGAGAAGGCTTAATTTTATTAAGTAGCATGGTTGAGACAAAAGGGCCAAAGGTTTGAGACCCAAGAGTGAGCCTGTCTTTTGTGTCAGCTGAATATGATGGTGGCTTTTAGTTTCTCCTCTAGTATGCCATAATGTGAAGTACTAAGGTTTGGGGATTTTCCTGGAGGCAGTGGGTGTTTTTTAAATGCCATAAAACTCAAATGCTTCTCTTCCACCTGAGATAACATATTTCTACATTGATGAGCTGCCCTGAACAGTTCTTTTATTTCCTCCTTTAGGCTTCAGTGTTTGCAGAATCACTTAGAATAGTTCTGCTGTGTAAATACTGATGGAGACTGTGTTGTGCTGTCTGAGCTATTCTAATTTTTCAGTTCATTTGGTTCCAAGGCATCTTTAAAAAAAAAATCCAAAGGAATGTGTACCATATGATTTTTTACAGATTTAACTCTTTTCTCTCTTGCTTTTTTGTACTTAGCAATTTTCCCGGGACACGGAAGAGATGTTTTTAAGGGGAAATACTCATAATTAGTTGTACTTTTAAAAAAGCAAACAAATTAATTCTCTTCTCAAGGGAATTGCTACCAATTTATCACATCACAAGGCTAGACCTGAATCAGTAGCTGAGAGAACTTCGTTCTTCTTCTAATGCCGTAGTTGGCTCATTTGTGTATTTGTTCTTTGATAGGTATCTGAAAAGGGTTCTCTCACAGCTGATGAGTTTGCTAAGCTGGTGGGGATGTCTGTTCTCTTAGCCAAAGAAAGGTAAGTAATAATTGTTGTGTTTAATACTTCAGTTATTATGTTTTCCTCAAGTAATACAGGACATCTTCTTTTGCTTTCTCTAGGCTGCTTCTTGCTGAAAAGATGGGCCATCTTTGCAGAGATGATTCAGTGGAAGGCTTGAGATTCTACCCAAATTTATTTCTGACACAAAGCTAATACCATTTGTGTAAAATTTGTTATGTAATAATTGAACAAAAGAGCAGAATCCTTCCAAGAACTGACTTTAAAATTCTTATTTCGTTAGTCAACTGCAAGAGACATGAACATTGCAATGCTTTTACAGTTCTCAGGTATTTCAAGTGCTGAATTGTCTTACATGGAACTGAAAGGAAATAGAAATCACAAAGTGAGAAGCATGTCTATTGTCTCAAGACAACTCACTAATTTTTCAAGTTTTATTTGATGTGCTATGTAGTTTCGCATTTCAAAAGAAGATTCCACACCAGTGCAAGTGAAGAGAATATCGCTGTAGAGTGCTGTGAGGATCAGCACCCAGAAGCCAACTTACTGCATACTCCAATTCCAGTTTGCTTATGTCTGCAGCAACAAAGCAGACAGATGTATCCACAGTGATAAGAAATGGGACTTCGGTGTGTACTGAGGTATAAGGAACAGACTAGTGTAGAACAACCCCTTCTCCCAGAAGTGATGAACAGTTTTCTAAGGGAGGATCGATCTTGGGGTTCTAGAATTTGAGACAGAAAGAACCTGCTGCAAGAGAGGTTATTGTATGTCAGGCGAATCTAGAAATTACCGTGTTTATTTTGTCGTGTCTTACACTAATGTCTCAGATAGAAGCATTGTTAGCACAGACTTCCTCCCTTCTCTTTCCTTGCCATCTTCCTTCCTGTCCATTTATGTTGCACTTTGGGTGCCCTTTCTCTGTCCTCTCTGTAGCAGAGTGGAGCAGCCTCCTGTCACTTTACCAGACTCTATGCTTCAATGTGCTTGTATTTTATCTTGTACTTCTAACAAAAGATCATTTGTTTGTTTCATCAGCCTATTACCTGTTTTGGGGAAACAGTTCATTTGCTTGCCTCTCATATGTGAAAATTAATACGCTTTCTATATTGAAGGGAGGGGGAAGACTATCACCCTGTGTTCAATAATCACAAGGTATCATTGTCTGGTATTCTTCACCCTGTGTTCACACTGAATGCAATATAATAGCCTCGGTTTTCATAACTCCAGTGGAGTTGCTATACTACTTGAAGATCTGTCATGATAATAACAGTTAAGTGGATGTTTATGATCCACATTACCTGAATTTTTGGCATTTTGAAGTGACTATTTTTAATAAATAAAGTTAATTTAAGGTATGGGCAAGGACATCATACAGGTAACTGCATTGTGATGGCCGGATCAACTGTACAAGAAAGGACAAAAAGGCTTTTAATATGAGCCTGAAGATATTTTCAGAACTATTTCAGTGTTACCATAGCATGAGTTAAGACATGAGTGAAGAGCCTGCTAATAGTTCAGTGCAGAGATTCCTACAGTGATCATGCCTGTGGCTTGTAGGATGTCCTTTATATCCAGGGAATTACATCCTCTTACTCTTGTCACAAGCAAACTTTCATGCAATGCTTTCTTTAAGGCAGCTTTCCTCTGCTCCACGAGGGTGCTGAAACTTATGTCTTTGACATGGTTGAAGGGAAACAGTTCCACACTGTTTTTACTGTGCTAGTCACCTGGTGTCATCTCTTCAGGAGCCTTACAGCTTGCTGCTTTCCTTCGTCCTCTCCACAACCCAAGGGAGAGATCCATGCCAAGTACACTGAGCACCACATATCTAAGGAGAGACTGAAAAGTGAGAAATTTGGAAGCAAAAGGCTGTTTTGTAACACCTGCCTCTTTTGCCCAGTAAAAACCTGTCATGGAAGGCCAGTGGTTTGTGGGCCTGAACCTCTCCCCACAAGGGGGCACGTCGTGTGCAGGAAGAACAAAACGTGGGAGGAAATGCCAAGTGTAAACTGCCAGCCTCCGTTCCTCCAACCCTGAGTGTTTCATTATCTTACTTAAGCAATAATAATACAGCCTATTTAGAATAATGGTACCTTCTCAAGCTTTTCTTTTCCGAGATTTTTCCTTGAATTTGTTTTTGCTCCAGACAAAAAGGCTATAGGGTAAATTGTATTGCTGGTTTAGAATTCAAACAGACACATGAGAAAATGGCTGCTAGAAGGTAAGAAAAATTAAAACATTTTCTTAAATAGATTGTTCTGTTGAGTTTTTTTTTTCTTCTAAATGTTTTAAATGCTTTTGAATGCTTTACACATTAAAATCTTGTGGTTCCATGGGGCAGGTTTTGGAAGCACATATTTGTGCTGTCTCACTTTGTAACTAAAAGAGTACAATATAGTTTTGATTTAAAGGGCAGAATTAAATGTAATTAGAAGGCCTTGCTTGTGTTGCTGAGTAGCCTGTTACCCATGCCAGCCAGAACAGTCAAACTGTAGGTGTCTGCACAAGCACTGCTTTCATGAGGTCATATTAGTTTAATACAGAAGGTACATATATGAACTTTCCTGTTTTGATTATTCCTCGGACATTATTTGTATCATGATATATGACCATTTTTCCAGGGCTGCCTACACAAATAATACTTGTCTTTTTATGGAGCAGTCTTAAATGATGATTATGTTTTTCATTTGAAAACGTGGGCCTTCTTATACCTCGGACAGGAAAACACTCCTCAGGAATCTGTACATCTTTTCCGTTTCTCCTTTGCCTTTGTTTTCAGGAAAATTTCATTCAGCCTATGGAAACATGGATCTAATCTGGACCATATTTCTGAAATCAAATTTTTTTTCTTCTGGAAAATATATGTAGACATGCATTTGGAAGTCCTCAGAAATGTATAATCATTAGTGGGTACATATTGATTAGCTAAACTCTTTGATGCTCAGTTCTTCTAACAGGACTTCTGTGGTTTGTCCAAAGAGCCTGACTGTGCTTCCAAAATTAGTGCAAATATTGTCCCTGAATTCATGAGTGCAGTAGTGGAAGATAGTAGGAGCCTGTTGCCAGCAGTAGAGGTTCCTGCTTCCTGAAGCCTGAGAGGCACTCATTTGCAACTGGACAGCTCTTTGAAAATACTTACTGAAAAGGCAGTTCAAAACTATTTGTGGATTTGATAAGAAATCATTTTTTTCTCTAGGAGGAACTCCTTCACCAATGTATTTTCTGTTGTGTTCGACTGACAAATCTGACAATTATGTTTCTTCTAGCAGTTCCCATCTCATCCTAACTCAGCCCTTCAGGCATTCATGTGAAATGCAAGACCCTATAGTTCCAAGTCACCTGCTGGGAGGACTTCAACTAACATTTTGTTCTCCAAAAATGAGCTACAAGTATTCACGCTGAGAGAATATTCTAGACATGTCTCTTGGTAACATTTGTCTGTATTTTAAAGATCTATTTAAATACTTTTATTGGAGCAGAAGTCCCAGTATCTGTCCTCCCAGTAGCTGTCCTGTCCAGCAGGCTTGAGAGTAATTTTTCTTTGTGGTTTAGAATTTAGGTATTATTAAAAAACAAAACAAAACAAAACAAAAAAACCACCAAAAAACAAACAACACAAAACAAAACAAAAAAAAAACCCTCAAACCAAAAACACATCAAAACAAAAATTCCAGGAGTGACTGAGACATCTTAAGTTTCAGAAAACCCCACAGCCTGCTAGTTAGCACACGTTCATGGAGAGGCAGGCTTGACAGAAACCGCACTGCTTCATATCCCTGCTCCACACCAAAGAGCAGGTAGGATCTGGCGTGCCCTGCTTTTCCACTGGACTCCAAATGCTGTGACTTCAAGTTTTCTGCTGATGAAAGGGCACATTAAACCCTGCTCTGCCATGCTCACAGCAGAGAGGGACAGCAAGTTCAAGATAAAAGGGACTGGTACTGATGGAATAGTCAATCAACTGATGGAATCTAGTCCTGCTCTGACCACAATACCCAGACTAGACTTTTTGCATTGAAATACAATTCCACGTATTTTACATACTTGTATTATCATCAGTATTATCTCAGAAAGTTGTAAAGGTGGGGACTGATCTAACCTAAAGGCTGTTTCGCTGTATGTCAAATCAGTGCTCCTGTGTCACTTGCTTCATACATGCAGAACACAGGATATATTCTGTGTGAAGCACTCTATTTTTGTGAAGAACAGGAAAAGCCAGCACAGTTCTACAGAATACATTTGTGTCTGTTGCTGGTATGGCATTTTTACTGTGGCTGTTTAGTGGCTCACATCTTGAAGGTAGAATTCTTTCTAAATGTTGCCTAAATATAACAGTGTTGGACATGGGATATGAGAAACATCTGCTGTTTCAGCCAGGCTCAGCAGTTGTGTGTGTGTGTGGCATAATTCCCCCGAGTTTCACTTAGCATTGGACAGAGAATTTGAGGTGTGTCCTTAAATTACAAAGATCTGACTTGATCCACCCATTAGATGAAAATGGCAAAATTCCCACTGACTTCAAACCCAGGCTTTGTTGTGATTATCAAATGTTAACTAGCTAGCAGCTCTGGAAAACGGTGTATTGGGTATGGCTGAGCTCTGGCTGGGAGAAGGAAGAGCTTAAAACACATTCTGGAATAACAAAATGTTTTGGTCTTCTCAGTGGAAATATCAAACTAGACACAACTGTTTGCAGTCACTGCAAAGTGACTGTTTCTGATCTTTCTGCATTCTTACTGTTTTATCCACAGTGTTTTGAGAAAGTCTGAGATTAGGATATTTTTTTTTTTCCCACCAGGACTCTATTTATAAGTTACAAGGCCAGAAGAGACTAATGATAATGTCACTTGACCTCTTGGGTAACAGAAACTGTAGGACTTCCCATATTTAATAATTTGTGTTTGAGGTAGAACTCCTCTTTACGAACAACAAGAGATTGCATGTTCTGGAAAATCCCACTGCAGCCCTTGGCAGATTATTCCAGTGACTATCACCTGTTGGAAAAATTATTTTGCTGTACTCAATCAGAATGTGTTTAGCTTTGTCTTCTAGCTGCTAGAGACAAGTAAATGCTTTATGAAGCATGAGTTCCTGTCATGCCCGGTCCCCTAGAATATAACAGTTTCTTAAACATTGATCATTTGGGGTCTTTTTGCCCACCTTGTTGTTCTTTTTTCTGCTCTTCCAAAGGCTTTCCATAGTTACCTAGTAGCCCCCATAAATTGTGAACACCAGCACTGGGCCAAGGAAAGCTACAGTAAAAGTGTTAATTGCAGAGGTAATTTGTTGCCCCAGTTTTTATACCCCCAGCCATGCCCACTGAGGGCATTCCTGTGCTATCAAACACGTGCTTGAACCTGTGCTCGTGCTCATTTCACTCCCCATGCACAT